TCTTGAGTCGACTCAAAAGCAGTTCCATTCCCCGTTTTTGAGGCGCCTCAAAAATGGACTCCTCGTTTTTTCAGTTTTGTCTCGCATTTCTAACAGACCCATTTTACTGCTTCCTTAGCTTCCCCTTTATGTTGTCTCTTTCCGCATTTCGTGTGTTTATTTTCCGCCATCAGAGTCTCCGCGGAGGACGCTCTCCGCAACTCCCGCCTCCGCCTCCGCCTCCGCTTCCGCCTCCGCCTCCCCGGAGCAGGCCGCGCACGCCGCCCGAACCATCGCGCGCCTTCGGTCGCTCGGATTCCGAACTTTCGCAAACGCTCTCGAGAAAACGGACATCCTTTCCTCGCTCCCCCCCGCCGTCGCGCGCAAAGGCGGAGTCTCCCTCCTAGTCCCCTCGGACCGCGCGTTCCTTAATCTCCCGCAGGCCGTTCAGAAGCTACTAAGAGGGCCCGACGCTAAGGACGTTCTTAAAAACCTCCTCCTGTACCACATTTTCCAGCCGCGAATCAATTTTAACTACTTCCTGAAGCTCCAGGGGCGGCGCGTTAAGACGCTACTTAAAGACCGAACTCTGACCGTTAGATTCGCCCGTGGCGGCTTCCCCGGAGCGCCTACAGTCGCGGGGGGAGAGTTCCTCTGGTTCGCTCCCTCTGAAACGGATAGCGGCAGCGTCGGCAGCAGCAGCGCCGGCGCGATGGTGATTGTAAAGGATGTGACTTATAACGGGCTCGTGATCTGCCAGGCTGTCGGTACGGTGCTCGTTCCGCCGTTGGATCTCCTGTCGCCTCCCAAAGTTGCCGCATCCACCACCGCTAAGAACGCGCCTCCGGTTTCCAAAACCAAGTCTCCCGCCAGCGCCGGCGGCGGAAGCGGAAAGAAGATCCGACCGCCGCCATCCAAGAGAAGCTTCGTGGAGTCAGCGTCCGCGTCTGGCGGCGCAGCAGCCGTAGCGAAGCCGGTAGCCATGGCCGTTCCAAGCCCCGTGATCCGGCCGTCGTCCGTGACGCTCTCCCCGCAGCAGCAGGTGCTCTACTGGCTCTCCCGCCAGGGCCTCGGCCGCACGGCCGCAAATCTCGCGCAGTCCGGCGTGCTGGAACTCGTCGAGCCGGGTAACCCGGTTACCATTCTCGCGCCCACGCAGCTCGCGTACCGGTTTCTCCCCTGGACCGTCCGCCAGCTGTTCTTCACCAAGTCCGGGGAGGAAGTGCTTCCGCGGCTGATGAAATACCACGTTATAACGCAGCGGCTTACAGTGAAGCAGCTTCGATCCGCGGGGAATCATAAGTATCCGACCCTGCTGGACGAGCACCCGGTAGATACCAAAGTAGGCTCGACATTTGTCCGTTTCTCCCCCGAGCCTCCGGATTACGCCGCCGCGACCATCATCCCGGGGTCGTCCTTCAGCAACGGCATCGCGACCGTACACGTCAGCAGCTCGGTCCTCATCCCGCCGTACGATCTCCTCTCCATATCCCCGCCTCCCGCGCCGGGTCCGGTCCCCCCCCCGCTCGGCCCCGCGCCCGGCCCCGCCCCCGCAAGCGCGGATGCCACCGCTATAGCGGGGACCCAGTCGATAAATATGGTCGGAGATTTAGAAGCAGGGCGATTCCGGGGGGATTTTAGAGGGGAGGAACCAGGTGCGGGGGTGGTTACTGCAAGGGGGGTTGCTGAAGTGGGGTCGGCGGGCGCCGATCATGCGCGGATCTCCCCGCTTCCCCCGCCGCCGCCGCCGCCGGGGTACGTGGGCGGGTCTGTCCCCAAGCGCCAGCTGATCTCGTTTGAAGACGCGGGGGGAGACCCGTATAGCGCAGCCCCCCCCCCTATGGCTGCAGACCTGGCGCAAGAACGGGAAGCGGGGGGGGTGTTGGGCGCAGAAGTTGGGGAAGGGGCGGAAGGGGCGGACGAGGTGGGGGAAGCTTGGGAAGCGGCGTGGGAAGCAGGCGCGGGTTCAGGAGCTGCTGCTTCGGGCTCCAGGCGCGTGCTTCCCGAGTTGGCACTGAGCGCGCGTCAGCAGGCCATAGACGCGCTGGCGAAGCGAGGGCTCACTGTACTCGCTAAGAACCTCGCCGCTACAAGGATACTGCACTCCCTCTCAGGCCCCGCTACACTGCTCGCGCCTACGAATCTCGCGTTCTGGACCCTCCCGCTGCCTATTAAAGCGCTACTGATGGGGCCTAAGGCGGACCTGGTTCTTAAGAACCTCATGGCCTATCACATCCTGCCAAGTGGACGGACTTCCGCCAAGCAGTTCGATGTAGCTATAGCCACGGCGGGGATCGAGGGGTATGAGCTGTATAACACTCTGCTACAGGGGAGGAGCGTTAAAGCGGAGCGGGTAGGAAAAGCCCTGCGTTCTCACCGCTGCCGATGGTGCCGCTGCTGAGTAGAGTGGCACGGGTAGTAGCGTCTGATGTTAATAGCGGAGCTGCCAGTACCGGGGTTGCTACTAGCGGGGATGCCACTAGCGGGGATGGAATCACCATCCATGTGATCAACCGGGTGCTCATTCCGCCTGTGAAAGTGCTGCTGGCGCCCTTCCGCCCAGCTGCCGCTGCGGCTGCGGCTTTGGATGTGGCGCCGAATCCCTTCCGCGCCGCCTCTGCTGCTTCGGCCCAAGCCATGGTCCTCCCAATGAGTAAGTCCTGCGAGTGCTAAGGGTGTTAACTCCGCCAGTAGAAGTGCTGCAGGCTCCTGCCTGTATGCCGCCTCTGCTGCTTCGGCCCAAACCATGGTCCTCCCAATGAGTAAGTCCTGCGAGTGTTGATTGTGCTAGTGAACGTGCTTCCGCGCCGCCCTTCTGCCGCGTCTGCTGCTGTGGGCCAGTCCGTTGTCCTCCCAACGGGTAAGTCAATCCACGTTAAGTCAACCGGGTGCTCATTCCGCCAGACACGGTGCTGGTGCTGCTCACGCTGGTGCCCTTCCGCCTGTCTGCTGCTGCTGCTGCGATGCGTTTTGAAGGTGTTGAATCGTTGGTGAAAGTACAGCTGGCTCCCGTCCACCGCCTACTGCCGCGCCCCTGCTGCGGGTTTGTATGCGAGCGTTTGTTGTTTATTGGTCTGTTTACCTTTTCCCCCTCGCCTCATTTCCCCTGTCCTACCCCTCGCCCCCTCTTCAGCTGACGCCACTCCCTCTCCTCCCCTCCATCCCTCTCCTCCCCCTCCGGCCCCTCCTGCTGAGGACACTCTCATGGACCCTCTCCGCCCCCTCTCCGCCTCCTCTCCGCCCCCTCTCCGCCCCCTCTCCGCCCCTCTCCGCCTCCTCGGCTGCACCAAGACGGCAGACATGGTCGGGCGCTCGGGCTTCATTGCCTTTCAGTCATCATCGCCCCCTCAAGTTCAGTTCAGACCTTATCATTGCTTTTTTTTACTCTCTTTCCCTTCTTCCTTCCCCCCTCCCCCCATGCCTCCCACCCCTCTCAACCCCTTTCCAGCGGACGCCACTCCATCCCCTCCCCCTCCGGCCCCTCCCCCTCCGACGGCTGAGAACACCATCATGGACCGCCTGCGCCTCTTCGGCTGCACCAAGACGGCCGACATGATCGAGCGCTCCGGCTTCATCGCGCTCCTCACCACCGCCACATCCCCCAACGTCACTCTCTTCGCTCCCACCGACGACGCGCACACCCGCATCCCCGCACCAGTCAAACAGCTTATCACCGACAACGGCCCGTCGGTTGAGACTCTTCTGCTGAGCTACCAGGCGGTGTTTGGAATCCAGACCTACGCCGAACTGACGAACCGATCATCAGGTTCGTACCCGACCCTGCTCACGGATACGTCCGTCACGCTGATCAAGACCCGCTGCCCGTATTTCAAAAGGTTTTACCGTGAGCCCGGGTGCAACGAGACGACGAGCCTGCTGCCGGAACCCGCCATGGAGTATCCTGCTGTGAGCATCGTTCGGCCGAATATTATCTACGTTCAGGAGCCACGTAACATTACAAGTTCGGGGATGAATGTTACTATATTGGTGCAGACGCTCGTGCACATCACATCGGACTTCCTTATACCGGACTCGTCGCTGCTCGTTCCTGGGGCCGTGCCTCCTGCCCCTCCTCCTGATTCGCCTTCCCCTCCTCCTCCCGCTCCTCCACCGCCTCCGGCCCGGTAGTCTTGAGCATGGGCCTAAGGAAGAGTAGTATACATGAGATAGGTTTTGTGCTGGACTGGAAGGGATGCAATTGGATGCTGGCTACAAGTGGGTGCTTGTTTAACATTCTTGTCTTGCATGGAGGCTGCATTAAGGTAACGCACGATTATTCAAAAGGGGGGCCGGGCGAGAGGGGGGTACCTAAGTGGCCCTGTTTTTGCTGTAGTAGTGGGGACAATTGAATTAAGATTGCATCCTTCAGTAAGTGTTGTAATTTATTGAGCTGTTATTTTGACGGGTTCTTGACCGCTGTCGGAAAACTTGAGGGCCATCCAGTAACGAAGTTGGACAGTTCCTCTGCACCCCCGAATTGAATATTTCGGTTACCCAAGCTGGCGCAAATGCCGAGCCGAGCGGAGCAGCTCAATTATTCAATGGCCTGCGCCGCGGCCAGATATCGCCAGCCTCCCCTGCTTGTCCAAACCTCGAGTTACCCCTCAACCTAATTCCAGAGTCTCACTCCCATTCCAAACCAGAGCCGGACCTTGCTTCTGCCGCCATGCCGGACCTCGTGGTTGCCAGCAACCTCGAGATTACCCAACCAGACCTACCCTCGAATCTGACCTCTCGACGAGCCTCTCTCCAGCCACGGAACTTCCAGCACTCCTCCTGACTCAGCCATCCGAACCAATCCACATCTTGCTTGCCTTCGTGATACAGTACTGCAAGGGCATCGTACAAGCTCACTTTCCGCTCGCTTATTACGGTTGTGTAAGGTGCGTTTTGTTCCAAAATGTTCTGTGTAGTATCTACAACGGCTGAGTTGGGTGATTGAGAGCTCTCTTGACCTAACTCCATCCACATCCACCATTTTGGTCCCAATCACAAAACTCACAGTGAACTGTTTATCCATCACTACCAGTTTCACCTGCCTTATTGCCTGAAACAACACTAGTAGGCACCTGCTTCATTGTAGGGTTTTCGCATCGCATCCCACGCTGAGCCTGAATCTCGGCAGCCTATATGTCACCGGAAGTCGTTAATCAAGGTCTTATACATTACGCGTTGTCAGTTATTCTAGGGTGAAGGCGCAGAGACGCTGGGCTGCATTTTTGTGCAGCCTAATCCCTAGATGCAGGACGAAACGGACAGCTAAAGTGCACAAGTTGAGAGTTAAGGGATAATGCGCTATTTTAAGCGTTGTTTCCCGCTGATAGTCGCTTGATTTATCTACAGCCTATCCACGAATTCAAAAATCACTCATCCGTTAATCACCGCCTTCCGTGGCACCATCTCGCTAGCTCTCTGCAGCCACAGCCGATCATGAAGGCGCTGGCATGGGAGGAGGCTCCGACCGCCTAGCCGGCAACAATGTCGGTGGAGTAGGTAAGGTAACGGCCAACGAGACGGCGACGCGTGACAGCGGCGGCAACCTCCTGAGCCCGCGGAAAAAACTCCCCGGCAGCGCGCAATCCCCCAGAACCATCCTGAGAGGGGGGGAAGGAAGCGGAGGAGGAGGGGGATCCTCTAGGAGCCTCACTAGCAACGACTCCAGCAGCCACGCGTCGTCCAGTCAGCATTCCCGCATGATGCGGGACGAGCGGCGGGACGAGCGGCGGGACGAGCGGCGGGACGAGCGGCGGGACGAGCGGCGGGACGAGCGGCGGGACGAGCGGCGGGACGAGCGGCGAGGACGGGGACGCGACGACGGGTGGGAGGATGACACAGGCGGGGGAGCAGGGGGCGGAATGGGGGGAGGCAGCGGTAGCAGGGCAGGGAACGGTACTTTATCCCGAGACCGCTCGCGGGGCAGCAATGGCAGCAGCGACGAAACGCCGCCGTGCCGGCCGGCGACGTCCGGCGGCCGCCGGCCGAAGCGGCCGGAGGACGGCAGTCTGATCAGCCCGCGGAGCGGCAGCAGCCGCGTGCCGGATTGGCTGCCGTCTTCGTTGTCGTCGTCAGGGGCGCCGCCGCAGCGGCCGGCAACTAGCGGCGGCCGGCGGATGCCGTCCCGTCACGGCCCGTCACCCGACGACGATGACGGCGTCAGCGGGACGAGCGGGGAGTGGCCGCCGCGGAGATTAGTCGGCAGCGCGAGTACCAAAGGCGGCGGCGGAGGGGGATATGGGGATGAGCCCCCCGGGTTGCCATCCTCGGGATCTTATTCCGCCGGGTATCGCGGTCAGGGGTCGCCGCCGCGCCGCGCCTTTCACAAGTCGCAATCGGCGAAGATTAATCTCTCCAATTCCGGAGCGGCTGTCCGCGAAGCAGACCGAGACAGAGACAGGGACAGGGAAAGAGGGGGATATAGAGACCGAGAGCGTGAGTTACGAGACCGCGGGAGCAGTTTTAGGGAGCGGGATAGGGTTAGGTACCTAGCGGAGGGCGACGCGGAAGGGGACCTACCCCTAATGTCTCCGTCTAAGGAGCGCGCCGTGAGCCGCTGGGTCGAGGACTCATTGTGCGAGTTAGAAGGCGGAGAGCTAGGCGATACTATAGACTCCCCAGGTAAGGACTCGTCTTCGTCCTCCAGTCGCCGCCGGGGGGGCTCTCGTCGCGATGAGTACGGGGGCGAGGGGGATTATGAGGAGAGGTCAGGCGGGGGAAGGCGCGGAAGTGCGCGTGATCGGGACGGGGGAGGGGGGTATGAGGCGTCCCCACGTACGCCCCCCCCCCGGTCGGCGTCGCGCAGCGGGGGAAGGCACCCGGACGAGGCGACCACTTCGGGGAGGTCGCACCTGAGGACGGTGGGGGAGGCGCAGGACGGGGGGGGTTATTCCGCCGGCCGCCCGCCCTCCCGCGGAGGGCCGGGGAGCCTTGACCCGTCGTTGAGCGGGCGCGCGCGGAGCTTCGGGCGGCGCAGCTTGGGAGAGGGCGGAGCGGAGTTGCGCCCGCGCACGCCGTCCGGAGCGGAGCTGCTTGCGCGGCCGGGGACGGCGGAGGGCATGAGACGCCCGCGGACGGCGGACGTGAACGCCGCGCATGCGCGGGCGGGCGTCCCGCGGAGCATGTCGACCGCGGAAGCCGCGCTCGCGGGGCCGGGGGGATCCTTGAAAGAGCGGGACCGGGGGGAGGGCGGAAGGCGCACAGTCCCCCGCTCCGCGTCAGAAGTGATGCCTGAGGACTTGGGGGGAGGCGCAGGGGGAGGGGGCGGCGGGCGCAGGGGCCCGCTGCGGTCCCCTAGCGGAAGCCTGCGCTCTAATTCAGTCTCTAGAGACTACGAGGATGATAGGGGCTGGAGCGGTGATGGCGGGGGGTACGGGAACCAGGACAGGCCCTATACCTCCCATGGGTATGGGCGCAGGAGGGAGGAATCCGGGGGAGAGGAGAGAGGGGGGGGAGGTACGACGGGGTGGGGGAAAATAATATGAAGGAGGAGCATAGGAGGTTGGCTATGGAGTTAGAGCGAGAGAGGGAGGAGAGGAGGAAGTTACAGGAGGAGCTAAAGAGGATGGAGAGAGAAGTTAAGGAGAAGGATGATAGGAAGAGGACGGATAAGGAGAGGAGGGCGATCGAGAAGGAAAGATTAGTCGCTGACGTGGCGGCTTTAAAGCTGCCCGTGGACAGGGTTGCAGTGGAGGAGAAGAAATCTGCCCGGAGAGGAATCTTCTCGGTGTTTTCCAGCCGCCCGAAAACCCCAGATGTGGACAAAGCGGCGGCAGCAGCGGCAGCGCAGGGGAACACTGTAGCAGTGGTGCCGCAACCCTCCCCAGGGGCTAGGCCAGTAACCCCAGAGGGGCTCCAGGCGAGACTCACCAGAAAGAACCGAGAGGTCATCAGAGCCGCGAGGAAGGAAGCCGCAGCAGCGGGAGGGGGAGGGGGGGGAGGGGGAGTGGGAGGGGCAGGGGGGGGTGGGGGAGGGAGTGTGGATAAAGGGGGGAGTGTGAATATATTGAAGCGGCCGTTTGCGGATGTGAAGGAGGCGTATAAGCTGGATAAGAACGAGCTGGGGCGAGGCAGGTTTGGGGTCATCCGAGGGTGTCTGTGCCGCGTGTCGGGGGACCGATTCGCGTGCAAGTCGATAAGCAAGAGCATGCTGCAGGTACGTGGATTGAGGAGGGGGCTTGGTGGGGGTTCTGGGGCAATGCATGTGTGACTGTGGGGGGAATGTGGTCAGAGCGTGTGCCTTCTGCATGTCGGGAGACCGATTCGCGTGCAAGTCGACCAGCAAGAGCATGCTGCAGGTACGCAGACCGGGCTGAGGCTCTGTGCGTCTAGGGGTATGTGAATGCGGGGGTGGTACGGGCGTCCTGAGGTTGTCAGAGCGTCCCTGTGCCCCCTGTGGGAGGAGCGATCTGGGAGCAAGTCGATCAGCAACAGCATGCTGCAGATACGCTGTGTGGGAAGGAGTGGGTGGGGATGCTGCAGCCTGCAGGTATGTGCGTCAATAGAAGCGTGCAAGTCTATAAGCAAGGGCATACTGCAGGTATGGTATGTAGACTGGGCTAGGGGTCTGTGCGTGCAGGGGTATCTGAATGTGGGGGTGGCACCGGTTTTGAGGCGCCTCAAAACTAGGCTCTGTGCGTCTAGGGGTATCTGAATGTGGCTTTGAGAATTTTGCAGGGTGTTTTTGAGAATTCTCAAAAACACCCTGCAAAATCAACGCCTCAAAACCAATCTGAATGGGGGGGTGGCATCGGGGGTAATGGGCCCCTGTGGGACGGGCGACTCGCGTGCAAGTCGATCAGCAAGAGCATGCCGCAGGTACGCAGTTTGGGAAGGAGAGGGTGGGGATGCCGCACGAATGTGGGGGTGGTGCGGGCGTCCCTGTGCCGCCTGCTGGAGGAGCGATTCGCGTGCAAGTCGATAAGCTAGGGCATGCTGCAGGTATGTTGTGTAGACTAGGCTAGGGCTCTGTGCGTCTAGGGGTATCTGAATGTGGGGGTGCGGGTCATTTTTGAGTCGACTCAAAACTCCCCTGTTGGAGGAGAGATTCGAGTGCAAGTCTATCGGCAAGAGCATGCCTCTCCCCCCTTCCCCCTCTGCAGTGCCAGCAGGACTCAGAGGACGTGCGCAAGGAGGTGGCGGTGATGCGGACTCATGCTCACTCCTCTCTTTCCCTTCCCCACCGCTCTTCACCGCTGTCTTCCTTCCCCCTCTGCAGTGCCAGCAGGACTCAGAGGACGTGCGCAGGGAGGTGGCGGTGCTTTTGAGGCGTCTCAAAAACATGGCGGTGATGGAGATGCTGAGATTGATGCTCGATCCCCCTCTTCCCCTTGCCATTTTCCCCTGCCTACCCCCGCCGCTCCCACCTTCCCCCTCTGCAGTGCCAGCAGGACATAGAGGACGTGCGCAGGGAGGTGGCGGTGATGGAGATGCTGAGAGGCCATCCCAGCGTTGTCAACCTCACAGCCGCGTTTGAGGATGCGCAGGTGAAGAGGGGAGGGGGAACGGGGCTGAGGGGAACGGGGCTCAGGGGAACGTTCACCTAAACTATTGTGATGCTGGGTGTGATGGCGATGGTGGCGGTGATGGAGATGCTGAGGTGTCATCCCAACATTGTCAGCCTCATAGCCGCGTTTGAGGATGCTCAGGTGAAGAGGGGAGGATGGATGCTAACTTGTTGGGTGCTGCTTGGGTGACTGGTTGGCTGCTGTTGGGGTGGTTGGGGTGCTGGTGATGGTGGCGGTGATGGAGATGCTGAGAGGTCACCCCAACATTGTCAACCTTACGGCTGCATTTGAGGATGCTCAGGTATATTCTTCTCTTGTGTTGTAGGTTGTATATGTATATATATACATATACATATATATATATTTATAATTCAACTACAGCACGTTTCATGATGCACAGGTATTAGATATACACACACACACACACACACACACAAACACACACACACACACCCACACCCACACCCACACCCACACACACACACACACACACACACACACACACACACACACACCCACACCCACACCCACACCCACACCCACACACACACACACACACACACACACACACACACACACACACACACACACACACACACACACCCACACCCACACCCACACCCACACCCACACACACACACACACACACACACACACACCCACACCCACACACACATACATATATGCAGCCTGATTTAGGCATGTTCACAGGTCGGGCCTCGGGCCGACCTGACCTGCACAGGCCGGGCCGGTCCGAGGCAGGCTCAGTTCGGGCCTGCTCGGGCTGGGCCGGATCCTAGGCCGGCCCGTGGGCCGTGGGTACATGGCGGGCCGGGGTAGGCCCGCCCTTGGGCTTCCCTTTGGGCCCGAATCCGACCTCGTCATCGGTCCGTGCGGGCCATGGGCTGGGCCGGCCAACCCCGTCGAACGGCCCGGGGTCTATTGGGGCCCGAGCCCTGTTGCCGGGCTTGGGCGGGGCCAGCCCACCCCCGGCCCGTCCGCTGAGAATGCCTAGCCTGACTGTGGGGGCTGTGAGCCATTTGAACGAATTATGCTGGACGCAAAAACTTTCTCTGTTGACTGCAAGTCAAAGACTAGAACTCAATACAAACCCCCACCCCACCCCCCCCTCCCCTCCCCTCTCTCCCCCTCCCCAAACGTGATGTGCATTTGACCATGGAGCTGTGCGAGGGGGGCGATCGGCATCAGGAGCTGCGCGCGGGGCAAGCATACACCCACCCGCCCCACCCCTCTTCTCCCATACTGCAGGACATGCGTCTGATCATGGAGCTGTTTTAGGGAGGAGAGCTCTTGAACCGCATCAAGCTGTGCATGGGCAATCATACCCATTCCTTTACCCCTTGCATGCCCTGTTCCCCCTCCTCCTCTCCCCCGCCCCCTTCCCCACCCATCTCCCGCCCAGGACGTGCATCTGATCATGGAGCTGTGTGAGGGCGGAGAGCTGTTTGACTGCATCAGGAACTGTGCAATGGCAAGCATACACCCGCCCCACCCTACCCCACCCCACCCCACCCCACCCCCCCTTCCCCATACTGCAGGACGTGCATCTGATCATGGAGCTCTGTGAGGGCGGCGAGCTGTTCGACCGCATCAAGCTGAGGGGAAAGTTCCCAGAAGGCGACGCGGCGCGGGTGGTTCGCACGGTGGTCTCGGTGCTGCGGCACTGCCATGGGGCGGGCATCATGCACCGGGACTTAAAGCCTGAGAACATCCTTCTGGTGTCGAACCACAGTGACACGGACCTGAAGGTTATTGACTGGGGCGTTGCAACCTTCTTCCAGAAAGGTGAGCCTCTGCTGCTTGTTGTGGTGGCTGGTGTAAGCCCTGGCTACTCTCGCCTCCCAGCACGCCCTGGTTGCTACTGTCTCCCAGCACGCATGGTGGTCTCGGTGCTGCCATGCCGTGGGGGGGGGCGGGCATTATGCACCGGGGCTTAAAGCCCGAGAACATCCTTCTGGTGTCGAATCACAGTGACACGGACATGAAATTCATCGACTGGGACGTGGCAATTTTCTTCCAGAAAGGTGAGCCCTGGCTGCTGCTGCCCCCCTCCCAGCACACACAGTGGTCTTGGTGCTGCCGCACTGCCACAGGGAAGGTGGGCATCATGTACTGGGACTTCCCGAGAACATCCTTCTCGTGTCGAATCATAATGATGACACGGATCTGAAATTCATCGACTGGGGTGTGCCTACTTTGTTCCAGAAAGGTGAGCCTCTGCTGCTGCGGCGCCCCTCCCACCCCACGCGGTGGTCTCGGTGCTGCGGCACTGCCATGGGGCGGGCATCATGCACGGGGACTTCAAGCCTGAGAACTTTCTGCTTGTGTCAAAACTTAACGACACGGATCTCCAAGTGATCGACTGGGGCGTTGCACCCTTCTTTCAGAAAGGTGAGGCTGTTATTGCTGGTTTTGGCGGCTGCTGGTTGTGGCAACTGCTGGTTGTGGCAGCTGCTGGTTGTGGCGGCTGCTGGTTGTGGCTGCTGCTGGTTGTGGCGGCTGCTGGTTGTGGCGGCTGCTGGTTGTGGCAACTGCTGGTTGTGGCAGCTGCTGGTTGTGGCGGCTGCTGGTTGTGGCTGCTGCTGGTTGTGGCGGCTGCTGGTTGTGGCGGCTGCTGGTTGTGGCAACTGCTGGTTGTGGCGGCTGCTGGTTGTGGCTGCTGCTGGTTGTGGCTGCTGCTGGTTGTGGCGGCTGCTGGTTGTCCAAGAACGCCCTGGTTGCTGCAGCCTCCCTCCCAGCACACACGGTGATGTCGGTGCTGAGGCACTGCCTGCCATGGGGCTGGCATCATGCACGAGGACATAAAACCCGAGAACATTCTGCTCGTGTCGAATCCCACAACATGGGGTGGGCATCATGCACGCACGGGTACCTGAAAGCTGAAAGCAATACTCTCCCCATGTTGTCGAATCACACTGATACCGATCTCAAAAACCAAAAAACCTGGCGAACAGAAAGCCTTAGGGCGCAAAAAGAACATTCTGCTCCTGTCGTCGAATCACAATGAGACCAATCTATCTCCAAAGTCATTGACTGGGGCGCCGCAAACTTCTTCCAGAAAGGTGACTTTTGAGTCGACTCAAAGTCACCTCTTCCAGAAAAGGTGATCTGGCAGAAGGGTGCTGCTCTGCTTCCCGTGCACTGACATGGCAGGCAGCGCCTACTACCTCGCTCCTGAGGTCGTAGCGGGGAAGTAGGGCTCTGAGGCTGACGCCTGCAGCGCAAGCGTGGTGCTCTACATAATTTCTCATCGTACTCGCCACTCACTCTCCCCTCCCCCATCTCCCCCTAATCCACCAGGTAAGCCATGCATGGACTTGGCAGGCAGGCCCTACTACCTCGCCCCAGAGGTCCTTGTTGAAAAGTATGGCTGGGGGGCTGACATGTGGAGCGCAGGGGTGGTGCTTTGCGCTCTCCTGTGCGGGGTGCCCCCCTTCTGGGGCACCACGGACGACGCCATCTTTGAGGCGATCAAGCAGGCCACGCTCAGCCTCCCTCTTCCCTTGTCCTGCTCTCCCTCTATTTCTCTGGTTGTCCCTCTCTCTCACTTTCCCCTCTACCCGTGCTCCAGGCAAGCCCTGCACTGACATGGCAGGGAGCCCCTATTACTTGGCCCCAGAAGTACTAGCTGAGAAGTATGGCCCTGAGGCTGACATCTGGAGCGCCGGGGTGGTGCTCTACATCCTCCTATCTGGACTCCCCCCCTTCTGGGGCACCACCAACGACGCCATCTTTGAGGCGATCAAGCAGGCCACGCTCAACCTGGTGCGCCAGCCATGGCCGGTGATTTCGGACGAGGCGAAGGACCTGGTGGTGCGCATGCTGACGAGGAACCCCAAGAAGAGGATTACGGCTGATGAAATCCTCGGTACGTATGTGGGAGCTCAGGGATCTGTAAGCCACGCTCAACCTTGTGCGCCCGCCGTGGGAGGTGATCTCTGACAAGGCCAAGGAGACCTGGTGGTGCGCATGCTCTCACGACGAGGAACCCCAAGAAGCGAATCACTGCTGAAGAAATCCTCGGTACGTTGGATGGATGGCTGGGTCACTTTTGAGTCGACTCTAAAGTCACCTCGAAATCCTTGGTACGTTGGATGATGGCTGGGTGACCCAGCCTGGGTGGGTGTGGAAGTGCGTTGGAAGACTACGTGCATGTTGCGTCGCGGTGACTACTGAGTCTATTGTAGACGAGGCCAAGGATCTGGTGGTGCGCATGCTCACGTGACGTGATAAAAGGAGGCCAAGGATCTGGTGGTGCGCATGCTCACGTGGCGTGATAAAAGGAGGCCAAGGATCTGGTGGTGCGCATGCTCACGTGACGTGATAAAAGGAGGCCAAGGATCTGGTGGTGCGCATGCTCACATGACGTGATAAAAGGGTCAATTTTGGGACATCACGAAATAAACCTTCTATCACGTGGTGCGGATGCTCGCGAGGAATCCCAAGGGGTGAACCACTGCTGAAGAAAGCCTCGCTATGTAAGCGGGTTGATTGGGTGGGTCTTGATGCAAGTGGGACTTGGGGTGGTGATTGGGTGGGTCTTGAGTTGATTTTAAGATCGCTTTCTGGAAGTTTGCCCATCCAAGAATTTTGCCCACGCGATTAGAACTTTGCGCATGCGATGCAAACTTTGCCCATCCCGCTTTCAGCCGGCGAAAATGCATGTGACGTGGGCCCACGACAAAGTGCGAACACATCAAACGTCAGGAATTGGCAGTGTAGCGTCCCACTCCGGCACGTTTTGATGCCTGATCTTCAAGGGAACAACACGCAACTGCCCGCATGGCAGAAAAAACAAGGCGGGGGGCAACTGGAAAGCCCACCACCCTCGTGGAAACCCAAGCATCCGAAAAGCACCAGCCCATAAGAGATGCTAGCCCATAAAGCAGGCGAGCCCAGACATTCGAACCACACAAACGGGCAATTTTTGGAAAATTTTGGAAAATTTCATGGAGTGGTCGACAGGCAGACGCGTCAGCGTGGCTGTCTGCCATCGTTGACGCCCGCGACCCAACTTCGCGTCGCAGGTCAGGGTAACGGGATTGGCAAGCGCGGCTCCGGATTTGATGCGAGCAATTTCGTGTTTCGTTTTGCTACTCGTTGATCGCAACAGTGATCGCAAGGTTGTGAAGTCGGATGGGCAAACTTCGGCGTTCAGGAAGTTTGCCCACAGAATTGCCCAAAACTGTGACGGATAGGCAAACTTGGGGATGGGCAAACTTCCAGAACGCGATCTAAGTCAAGGATCAGGTGGTGAGGGTGCTCACGAGGATCCCAAGAATCACCGTGGAGGAACTCCTTGGCATGCATGTGTGTGTGGGGTGGTTGGGTGGTTGGAATGAAAGCCTGAATGTTGGTGTCAAAGCCTGAATGTTGGTGTCAAAGCCTGAATGTTGGTATCAAAGCCTGAATGTTGGTATCAAAGCCTGAATGTTGGTATCAAAGCCTGAATGTTGGTGTCAAAGCCTGAATGTTGGTGTCAAAGCCTGAATGTTGGTGTCAAAGCCTGAATGTTGGTATCAAAGCCTGAATGTTGGTATCAAAGCCTGAATGTTGGTATCAAAGCCTGAATGTTGGTATCAAAGCCTGAATGTTGGTGTCAAAGCCTGAATGTCCGTATCAAAGCCTGAACGTTGGTATTAAAGCCTGAATGTCCGTATCAAAGCCTGTATGTCCGTATCAGTGTCTCAATTCTTCATTTCAATCTCTGAATGCTCATAACCAATGACCTCTCTTATTGATGCTCGAATGCCTGAGATTGTATGTCTATCCTGGAGCACCTGCTTGCATTTGCATGTCCGTGTGTAGCCGAATGCATGTTAAGGCTTGTGAATGGATAGCCACAAGTATGCATGAACACATGTACGCAAGAGCATGTACAATGTAACCATGCATGTGTGTGCGTGCACTTCCATTCTGAGCCAAGTGGTGCATCCCCATGTGAGTGCATATTCATCTACAACAATGTGCATGTTCATCTACAACAATGTGCATATTCATCGACAACAATGTGCATATTCATCTACAACAATGTGCATATTCATCTACAACAGTGTGCATATCCATCTACAACAATGTGCACATTCATCGACAACAATGTGCATATTCATCTGCAATAATGTGCATATTCATCTACAACAATGTGCATATTCATCTACAACAATGTGCATACATTCCATCCCTGGCCATCCATTATGGCCACCATCCCAACCATTATTTCAGATCATCCTTGGATTCGCGCCAACAACAGCTGAGCTGACCACGCCCACTCGATGAAGGCACTAGCGAGCCTGTGGTTATCAGCTGACTACGTTTATCAGGTGACCATGGTTAAAATTGTTATCGGGCCAGCGTACCATAACATGAGTCTGTGACTATACATTGGCTGCCGGATTATGAGGCCTGGAGAAAAGCGTCCTGGTGAGGTCAGCAAAGGCTGATTGCCCGAGCAACAGCCGTACATGCAACCAGGGTCACATGAAAGTGAAACCCCATATCCTTTCGGCTTGCGATGCGAAGGGTAGAAGATGCCATGAGGATTCAGATAGATATCGTGATCTCGTATGCTTCCTGTTTCAGAATTGATGGTGGGTTTGGCAAAATGATGGAGACTTATTGTGTACTGCAGCATTATGGGTTGCTGCTAGCTGATGGCAGGAGGGAGGTCTATGTCAAAAAAATGTTTTATGAGTTGTGCTGTGCTGGTCAATTTTAGTCTTGTGTTATCAGCATTTCAACTTGGCCATTTTCACTCCTCGCTCACTCTGTAGAAAAGGTTGCTTTTCATACATTTCGTATGAAAATACTGGCAGGGTTGCATTTAGGAGAAACCATCACATCAGGTATTTAATTCAACCAAGTTTCCTACCAGACTTGTTGTAGCAGTTAGCCACTCTGCTTTCTTCGTCAGCTAATCTATTCTGTGCACTGTTCTCCACATTCGTCCTCAAAACCAGAGCTTGCCAGCTCTCTCAGCATATCGTAGGGATTCACGAACACCTGCATGCCTCCATGGTTTCTGAAAGACACATGTACAGTACTTGAATAAGCAAAGACACTTATCACACACACTCCAGATTTACAAGGTGTGCTGCTGGGGAAGACAATGCTCCCTAAAAATCGCACACCAGATGAGCCATAGCACCCTCAACCTACGGGATGGCCCCTTTAACCAATCACTGGCGAAGCATATATAGATCCAGCACCAGCAGCATTCCAGCCTGGATCAAATCCCCGATTAAAGCCCCGATTAAAGCCCGGATTAGATGGCAGTCAGATCGCACTCGCTGCCCCACTTGCGACATTTGTCTGTAGCGCATCTTCTGGTCTACCACGAAGTTGGAGCCGCACAGCTGGCCTTGGCTGTCGATGTGCCGGCACCGCCTTCAGCATGCGGTCCGGGGTGCTCGTAACTGTTCAACCCGGCAGCCGTGGAGAAATAGCAACCTGCACGCGGGGGAGAAGAAAAAGAGCGAAAGAGGCAAAGCAGCACGGTTAGAGACCTGATCAGCGGTAAAACAAGAAGCGATCCACACGAAATGGGGAAATATGAACATGAGAATAGCATCCGCTACGCAGCATCAAACCGAGCGAACTTCGAAGGCGTAGAGACATAAGAGACATAGAGACATACCCTTGGGAAAGGGAGCGAAGGAGCGTCCACAGTGCTTCCTCAGCGCGTCACCTTATCAGCAATCGCCAGAACCGAGTCTTTGCAGAGTCCCCAGTACAACGGCCGCTTCCCATACGCGTCCTGAGCGACAAACACCTTCTTCTGCTTCTGGTCGTACAGGACAAACGAAAACGGACCCCGGAACTCCGAGAGGGCGTGTTCAACGGTGCACGGAGCTCGGTCTCGGAGGGTTTTGTACACCTCGATCACGAACGCGGCCTCAGAGATTCGGTACCGGGTGAGCCGTACGCTACCCGCATTTG